TTGAAATCCAGATCCCTTTTGCAGTGAGACTACAATGTTACACCTGCAAAGTCAGCAGATGACAATAAGATTTGTAATCTGGAAAGTACCTGGAGAAAGTTGGATTTTCCCCTAATAAATATTAATAAAAAAATCACCCGTTATTTTCTAAAGCACCAAGCACTTTTCCAACTCAAAGTGTACTGTTCTTTCCCATTCTGTGCAGAGGAGATGGTGCTGCAGTTGGCTGCTTCTGGAAGGAAACAAGACAGTAAACAACACATCAGGATTTAGCTGATGGGCTTCTGGATAAATGCACGCCTGCCTCACTGGAAGTAGTTCCCAGCAGTACACTTTGTGCAACCTTCTGATCCCAACTCATGAATAAAAGCTAAAAGCTCCATCTTCCCTATGACATGACATATTTATTAATTAGACATAAATATGGTGTTTCTGATACAGAGTTGTTGACAGGTAAGAACTGATGTCAGCTGGTATCAACCTCCTACAGTATTATGCCTCCCTCATCTGAAATAGGTCTCCCACTGTGTCGTATGACTGCTAAACAGGATTCATCCTCAAAAAGGTTTTCTTCAAATATTTGAGACAAATCTACAAAGGTATAGAGCACCTGCAAAACCTCCAGGGATTTCCAAAGCAGTGCTGGACCTCAGGCTTTGGAACCTTCCTTCTCTTTAAAACAAATCAAAGGAAAAAAAAAAAAACACAAAGAAAAACAACTGTCAGTACACTGTGGACCTTATAATTAGCTTAACCAGTAAATGTCTGCTTCCCCTGAGGTGCATCATAATGTGTATTTAATGAAATCCTTCTTTTCCCTATATCCCTAGCTGTTTTATATACTATAAATTATGGATGAGCTTCTGTTTATATAAGCAATCTTTTAGCTGTAAAATAAAGACCACTAATACAGCACTTAGAACACACCAGGATGCCTGCACTCCATCAATGTTTAAATAGGATAAAACACGCCAACTGGTCGTTTGCTCTCATTGGTAGTGATGTATGGGCGGGAAATGGACTGAGAGAGCGGAGAAGCATCCACCCATTGTTCTAAGCTCCTCCTATCCCAACATTGTACAGCCTTTTCTCATTACCAATAAGCAACAGATGGTGCCATCCATCTCTTCTTATGAGATGGAGAAATAAAATATTCGGCCTTGTATCACTATTTTTAGGATGGGAAAGGGATCTCAAAGAAATCTAAGAGGGGAAAAAAAGAAAAGACGATATCTATAGCTGCTAGCACACCATAGTTAAACAATCAATAATATATTTCAGGGAACTACTCTGTATGTGTGTGTGCGTGTTCCTTAATATGACGATCAATAGATTTTGCTCCAGACAAGCAGGTCTCACCCAGTTGGTCTATTGGCACTGTGCTGTCCCCAGCTTACACAGCTCAAGTTCCCAGCATACACCACTTACTTCACACTACAGAGAGGCAGTTTAACTTATTTAATGATGATTTCAAAGCAAGTGATTCTGGATGAGCAGGGAGGTAATGCAGGGCTTCCAAAGCCCACTGGAAGTTTCTGGCTGATACGGATAAGCTGTACACAAATATCTGGGATTCAAAGAAAAATTGCTTGGCAGGTATAACCACACAGTTATAGCTGGGATTATAACAGCTCCCCCCTCAGTAAGCAAGTGACTTTGGTAATAAAATGCAATGCAGTAATATACATGGGTTTCTAAGGGCCAGTGTTCAAGCATGCAGCTGCCCTAAGTAACTGTATGTTACTAGCTTTATTGTGCAAAACCACATATATTATCTTCTACATAAGAGACAAAAATATTTGCTCTAAGATAAATTTCCAGTTTTAAATTAGGAAATCCTAACTGCCTTAAGATTTGCTATCCTTACCTCCCTTTCCTCTGCATGTCTGTCTTTCTGTTAGTCACAGTTCTTCTTCCCTTTTATATAATCTATCCTGCTTCTGCTTGCTTTGTACTAATTTGTTTGCCAGCTAACAAAGCAAGTCTTGAACAGAGGAAGCTCTACCTAAATAATCCTTACTGGGAAGCAGCTTCATATACACAACTCTAACCCACTAATAGTCAACTTGGGTAGTTTTGACAGAAAAAAAAAGCACACCCTTTCTTTGCTTCCCTCATGGTTGTTGTGGCCATGTAGTCTGTCTGCAAAAGCCTTGGTTACACTAGAACACCTGCCCTAAGAAACCTGTTGCAAGAGCCCCCTTGTTAGCTGTGGCATGTATTGATATGAAAGGGTTTTTATTGTTAACACGCAGATCCCTGCTCAAATTAAGCCACCACACACAGCTCAATGGTAGGATGCATACACAAATCAAGAGTTTGGGATTTTTGATCAACATAATGTCATCAGTTAGGAAATGCAAAAACTTCCCTTACTGCAGTGAGCCCATGAAGATTTGCTGTTACAAGCTTGGACTCAAAGAGTTCCCAAATTGACCTGGGAGGGAGTAAGGAGTTTTGCCTGGAAAGGGCATATGGCCATAGGACCTCCCTGCCAGCTTCCATACAAGACAGGTTTTGTTTTGGAAAGAAAAAAAATAGTGCAATTCTTTTGGCAGAAAAGGTAACTTTCTCAAATCATATACAGAGGAGAAACTGATGCAGTTCAGTCCTGCAAATCTGCTGCGAGGTGCATGCTTCATTCATAGCTGAATGAAAGCAAAGTTGAATGGAAAGTAAGCTCAGGAAAAGGAATTTGGGTTGTTCCACCAGGGCTGATGAGAATCAAGCAGGCTGTAACTGCTCTATGCTCTGCACAAATTGCCTTTCCCTGTGCTTTCCAGTAGACCTTTTGTTAGAGCTTCTACGACTACTTCTGCTCGCCTAATAGGCAGACATAACTGCAACTATATCAGCTACGGAAGCAACTGGAGCTATGCTTTCCAACAGTGTCTGGTTATACTAACAAAATTCTCCTCTATTCAAAGCAAAGCAAAAATGAACACATGCACACTTCAAAGGACAAAAGAAAATGATAAAACAACTCTAGCAAAGCAAAAGGCAGAAACTGGACCAGATCACCAAATTCATTCGTGGTCCTTAATGCACTGTCGGAAGACAACTGGACCAAATGGTGACAAATGTGGTGAAAGACCCTATAAAAAGGTAGAAAGTCCTTATAAAATGCTGTACACATTTGGATCTCTAGTACTGACTGATGGCTGCAGAAGTTTTGAAAGTGTTCGTTGTGGCTTTTCTCACCTTAGTGTGACATTTCTGTTACACGATTATTTTCCACAAAGTCTACTATTTCTCAATCCAATGAGCCTCCCTCTGGCAAAAAACTGGGACCCAAACTTGTTACTTCAAAACAGAATTTCAAAATGCGCTGAGTTCAAGCTTAACTCCCCAAATGCTGAAGAACAACAGGCTTCTGGTGTAATAACTGTGTATTTGAACAGCATGTTCCCCTAGGTCCTGTCCTTAAATTCCAGAATGAAAAGTCAGTTGAGTCAGACACAAAATTAACTCTCCCTCTCCTGACTCTTATGTTCCACTAGCAAGTTGCCTAGGAGGTACAGAGCAAAGCGCTTAAGCACACTCACACTGACTCGTGATCACTTGGTTAACAGCAGCAGCTTAAAGGCCTTACTCCTTCAATTTGGAAATAGGTGGGGGATGAGAACATGAGTCTGCATCTCAGCAATACTGGCCCATGGTCTTATATTCTGGCATGAATCTATTTTCACTGGCAGTGTAAGCTAGGAAACGTGGCTGGGAACTAAGGCCCAGCACACATTCAGTTCCGGTGGTTCTGCTCAGTGGGAGAGAGGTGGTTACTGGCACAGTAGCAGGACACTTGGGAGCAGCAGCTTAAACTACTGCATCAAAATGCACTGGAACTCATCTGTCACTGTCCTCCCTCTCAGATTGTGAAACAGCCTATCCAAGCCTATAGCTTATTTTCACTTCTTTTTCCTTGCTGCTCTTCTTAAAATGCTACTAATGCAGCTTGTCAGATTTTCATCACCTTTATAGCAGAAGCTAAAGGCATTGTGCTGAGAAATAAGTGAAAGAAGGAGGAAATATTCTTCAATGTAAGATATAAATAGTGCTCTACAGTTGGGTTTAGTTTTTTATTGTTGGTGATGGCTGTTTTCTTTAAGATGGCTAAGGAGAAAAAAAAAGTTACAGAAATCTAGCATTGTACAAAAGGAAATAAAACATTCAGCAAAAACCCAAATAAAAGCTAAGTAAGCACAAACTGTTTTAAGGAATAGACAGTGAGGCATTGAGTCCTGTTAGCATTCAAATCAAGCAGTGAGATTGCTCATATCAAAAACTTCGTCCTCCCCAACACGCTCATCAATACAACACTGAAAGAGTTAAACCCCTGACAATCCCTGACTAAGATACATAAAAACTTGCATTTTTCCTGAGTCTTTCTTCTCCAGCAAGGATGGTTTTAGCTATTTGCTGAGCAAAGCTGATAAATAGATAACATCTTGCCAGACATAAAGGAGACAAAGCTCCAGACATCAAGGAGACACCTCTAGTACACAACTGATAGTTACAAAAGGTTGCATCAGAAAAGGGGCCCAGGCTTGTGCTCAAGAAGAAGGATTCAACTAGTGGACAGGTGAGGAAGACTATGAACGCTGGGAACTCATCACCATAAGACTGCCCTTCTCAGGAAATCTGATGAATATGTATGACTTTTGTGTATATGAACTGATGTGTTTCGCTAGCCCGTTGGAGCACCTATGGAAGGAGCTATCCCTCGTGCTGCCCGGCGCCGTAATAAAGAATACCTGCTTAATAACACTTAGTTGTTATTGAGTTTTCTTTGATTCAACACAATGTCTGTGATGTACTTCCATGGCCTGTGTGACATGCTAGGAAAGCATGTAACTGAGCGACAGTTTGTTCAGACGCAGGTTTAATGCTTATCTTCTGCAAGCCTATACGTAACATTCCAGGCAGTAAGCTTGCTTACCCATTATTTCAATCTTCCAGTTTTGTGCAGCAGAAAACATCAATAGCTGTGCTAAGTCACTCACCCATAACGTGTAGGACCCTCTGCGGCTCCCTGGAAAAGTCAGCATACTCTGATCCGAGACAGCAACAGATGCCAGGCCACTGCTCCTGGATGGTGGCCATTCAAAGTCAGCCTCAGTCTGCTCGGTTTTTCTTTTCTGCTTCTTTATAATCTGTAAGGTAGAGGGACCGGGGGTGGGAGGGGAGAACAAAAAGGTGCTTGGAAAATACTGTCTGAGCGGTATGGAAAAAAACTACATTAACCCTATCTCAAGGCAAACTGCCTAGGAAGAACATTTGAGCTTCCATTTGCTTTTGCTCCAGTTCATGCAAGGATGATTCTGACAACTTGCATGCTTTTCTTCTCATCCAAAGTCATACTGCTTGCAAGCACATAAGCATCAATACAATAAATCATAATGCCTGTAGGAACACCAGAGGTGAATTAAATAAACATGGAAAGCCTGTTCCTACAGTAACACTTTAAGCATTAGCATCATCTAAGTGTCAAGTATTTTCTTAGACAAGAATCTTTGCAAAGAAACATAAAATACTAAATATGAGGGGAATTTCAAAGGCTCTTGTGACACCTAGACACATTTCTGCTGATAACAAAAAGGTCTTAGGTGTCTAGGCACTATTTTTGTTTTTGAAAATCTACACCATTTTAAGAAAGAGAGAAGATCATATAGACTGTCTTGTCTCCCTACACTTACAGAAATGTAACTTCCTGTTACATTTCCACAACTTTTCTGACTCCAATTTAAAATACCTACAGAATATTATTCTATGGCATAAAAGATCTTGTTAGGCAGCTTTTGACAAAAGCAGTAGCAATTCAAGCTTGACTGGCATAGGCTCTGGACTATTAAATACCCGATAAGCAGAATTAATCTTCTAACATCCCTGTTAAAAAAGAAGGCAAGTTATTTTCTGTTGAGCTGCTGCTCTTCTGGCTTTTCTTGATAGCCTTATAAACATGTTCCTTTTCTGGTGTGTGATCCATACATTGTTAAATGCCACATCTTGTATACAAATGTGGCAATTAGCTTAGTTCACATGGAGGGAGACTAACTTAGCAGAGTGGTTACTTTAGATCACGGTAGCTCAGCAGCACTCTGGAGCAAGGCAAGACGAGCATGAACAAACAGTCCAAACTCAAGGGATATTTGTTCCCACTAGCCCTCCATTTCTCTGCTGTGTCAGTGCCAACTGTGAGCTTTGCAGGGAGAAGAACAAGCTTTTCAGAAAATACCACACAGAGGGTTCTGTGATTTTTTGGGTGTCTCAACATCGTTAACAGAATTCTATTTTAATGGTAGATGTTTTGTTTGTATGTGTTGCAGACACAGGGTTCAGTAGAGGGTATGATCAAGAGCCACACTTCTTTACGTTGGAAAACTTTGTGCCTTTTGGGAAGCGAAGTACAGATGTAAACTTCCATTGAACAGGGGCCTCCTCTTCCAAGCAAGTGTATCACAGACCTGAGGGAGTAGTACCTCTCGGCTCTGAGGGTGCAGGCCATCAATTTAGGCACTGGATTAAGCTTATTTATAAATTGATCTCTCTGTCAGATGCAGCTGAGTAAACCTATACCATGATAGTTGAAGTTTGAAATGCAACTTGTCATTTACTCTTCTCTCTAATTGGTGTCATCCTTTTTGCTGTTAGCAGAGTTAAAGCTCACTGGACTAAAAGATTGTGTTTTGGCTATTAAACAAGCTAGGGAAAAAAATGAATGGGGTACCTTCTGCACGATGGTTGTGGCCAGCTCTTCTATGAGGTCCTCCTTATGTTCCTGCAAGTAACAAGCCTCGTTCTGCTTGTCCTGCATGAAAATGGTTATCTGTAGTTGCTAAAATCACATAAAACCAGCCTTTCCACAGAAATGGCGTAGATAAGGAAACGGGTAATATGCCGTATTGGCACTGTGGGAAGAAATTACAGGTACTCACATTGCACGTCACCTTGTGAAATGCAACATGCATCTTGGACACAAGTACATAAAACCCACTCCCAACTCTTTAGGCATGGCATGAGATAGTCACTACTTTGTTTTCTTTTATATCTACTTGGTTTTGTACCACTACCCAAATTAAAAGAAAGGTAATTGTTCTATTTGAATTAATACATTTTGTTTTCAAAAATGTTACCAGGCTGTCACTGTAGGTCTCTGCCTTAGAAATAGCTTCTTCCACTGCTTCCTCTGCAACACGTAAGGCCACAGCAAGGGTATCCATCATGCTGTGTCCTAGGTGAAGAATAAGATAAAACCATCATGTTCTTCATATACATACATTTAGCATAATGAGCTCAAAAATTCAGACCCACATTCTGGACATATGTTCAAATCTTAGGTTGTTCATAACATAGTTCATTTCCTCAATCCATAATTACACACAATAAAATAAACACCTTAAGACAGAAATCTGTCTCAATCTCTATGTTACTTCTTAAATGTAAATATTAAATACAATAAAAGACAGTATTTTTATGTTGCTTATTTTAGAATCCAGCAAAATAGTTAGGAGGAAATCATAGGAAGAACATTTTTAAACTTCCTCTAAATATCCAATAGAATAAAAGAGAATAAAAAAGATATATGGGCATAGGAAAGGGGAGAGAAGTAACAAAACCTGAATATTAAGAAAATCACACTAGAATAAGTGTGTGTTAGCTGTAATACTGAAGCAAGATATTCAAGCATGGTACGCTAAATGTTTCAGCTAAAAGACTGTTTGATCTGTGAACAAGACTTATCAGAACTCTAGGCTATTTATCCAGTAGTTCAAAGTGTAAGGACTGTGTTTTAATCAAGTGAGTTTTTAGCAGCATACCTTCTGTCTGCTGGTAGAATGTAGAGTCACTGCCACAAATGCTTCCTTCATTTTCAAAGCTTCCTTCAAAAAAACCTCCTTCTGCTCAAAAAAAGACAGTACCGTGTGTTAGCATAAGAAGTACCCATTAACAGCAGAGACATTACTAGATTAGAATACTCACTCAAGATACAGTGTCACCGCACACAAAGAGGGATAACCGCAAAATACCTCCTACCTTTTGTATAAACCATGACAGCTTTCATACGAAAGACCTCTCATTCATTTAGGATGGACAAAACTATTTGTACAGTAAAAGAGAGAGAGAGGAAGAAGCTACTAGGTATAAAATTTACATGGTAGAAGTTAAGTACAGGGAATTTGCCTTTAATATGACATCTGGAGTTGAAATAGATTCTACATTTTAAAGGGCAATGCTGTATAAACAAACCAAAACCCAGACATGTATACTAGTATTTATCTTCAAAAGGAACAAAAGGTCTACCTAACAGTCACACGGAGAGTAGAAGAAAGTTAGCAATGACATTTAGACTTAAAGGCCTTCCTTAGAAAGGTCCCATAGAGAGTGCACATGCCACTGCTACTCATCATTGCATTGTTCACACTTCCATTCAAGGACAAATTCAGTGAACTATGGCTTAAGCAAAGGCAACACATTGCGTTAAAGTTCTGAAGGATCCATCCCCATAATTTTTTATTCCATTGTCCCACTTCTGCCCTCACTGACACGGATTTTCTTGTCTTCATACTTACTTGTTCTCAACTGTTAAGGAATCTTCTCTAGAATAACGTATTTGATACAGAGAAAGCAAAAAGATTAACAAAACAGAATTTAATGCATAAGCTGCTTCCATCTAGAAGCTTTTATGCCAATTTTCATAAGAAACACCTAAAATTTTCACTCAGGACTACAGAGTCCACTTACCATCCCACATAATTTCCAAAAAGACAAAGTAAAGATCATAGAAAAATTACAGTCTTTGTACAAATTTCAAAAGAATCACACAGGAAAGTATCTGATCCAACAAATCGAATGAATTTCAAACATTCAGCTAGCTGTGTTTTGAGCAATTTGCCAAAGCTAACAGTATGACACCAGACACTTCTAACCCATTTTTTATCTCAAATTACTTTTCTTATGGGGTGATGCATGGTAACACCATAGTTAAGGGAGAACTATGTCTCCTCTTTTAAAAGGGTGATGTCAATATTGAATCATCATCTTTTAGCCATTTGCAAACATCAGTACAAAAATAAGAGGTGGCCAGTTTCAGATCCTTAAGCATGCAAAACTAAGTGAGCACAACCTAAGTTTGGGTCAACTTGCATACTGAATGTATCCCATGTTAACCAAATTTTGCTTCAAATGCCACAGAAATGTGCTCTACAGCCAAATGTTGACTGCAAAACTATTTTCTCATTCATTGACTATTCAGAACTGTGACAGATTTTGAAACACGGGCTAGAATACAAACTGCAATTCACTTTACAGACTGAAGATAACAGATCTTCTGTATCAGTGACATAATTAAGCATTCTTTGAATTCTTAAGCAGCTCTCTAGATACTTCACGTCTTTTTTCTCTACATTATGTTTTTTTTAATTAAAAAAATACAGCCTTAAAAAAATCTCTTTTGAAAATCTCAGAACTTCCATTGTCTCAGCTTCTGTGTTGAAGTAGATAAACTAACAAAAAATCAACACAGCTGTTCTTACCTATTACGTCAGGACAAACTCCACTCTCCAGTCTATGCTTCTTGTATAAGTTCTTCAGGACTTTGGCACTTCCAAAACACTTAAAGCGGCTTTTGACATTATTGTAGTACCAATCCAGAGACTGGGTTCTTAGGAGCCTAAAACAGAAAAACAAACTACATATTTGGAATGATTCTACAAAAAATAAATGTAAACAGTTCACCATTCTGTTATGTAAAAAAGGATCTTTTAGTCCTCAGAGCATAAACATTAATTTCTGAATACTCCTTCACTGTTTGTACTTTGCAAGTGTCCAGTATACTGAGACAAAAAAGAAAACAGGTAACTCACGCGCAAGTATCTGCTTCACATTACTCAAGGTTTTATTTGGTTTTGCTACTATCAGAAGAGGTGCTCTCCCCTTTAACGTTATAACGCCAACACTATAGGCTTTTGAAAAATATAAACAAGCCTTGGAACAGCACAGGAAGTTTTTAAAAATTGCCTTTATTTACACAGATCTACAGACAATGTAAGAACATTAGCCTATTAATGCACCGCAAAAAAAAAAAAAATCCTAAAAGTATATTACCGCTTTTATTTGAGGAAACCATAAGAGTAGACAAAGCCTAATTAGAGGACATCAATGCAGAACATGCAAAGAATGGTTGGCAGACAACTTCTTGGGGGGCAAGGACTCACAGCCGCAGTTTGGTTTCTTTCAACAGTAAGCATCACTGCTGTCAACTATTCACCCTAACAGATTTCTTCCCAGAGCTCATATAATTTTATAAAGCCATGAGATACTGTCAAGCTCTGTACTCTTTTCCATGTGGCAGCAATGGGCTCTTGCTTCACTTTTTGTTGCTACTTCAGCAGTGGGTGGAGAGAAGCTGCGCCATATTCCCAGGCAATCCAACCACAGGTTACTGAGGATAACCCACAGCAGATCCATACGTTTCCTACTGAGGGTGCCACTGGACAGGGGGATCCTAGGGTTCCACCTATAAATCAGCCAAAATCCTCCAGGAAGCAGAATTAAGTCTGAGCCAGTGAACATGATCTAATCCTGAGTGTTTGCCTCCCTGTTGGAGCCCATTTGTTCCTCTGCACATTGCCACAGTAGCTTATTTTTAATTAATTTACTGCACTTACATCGCAGAAACCAAGATATTTTTATAGGACATGAAAACATTTCATACAAACCAGTATTTATTATAGGCTGCAAAAGTAATTTCCTTTTTGTAGTAATTATGAAAATCGGGGTTTTGGAACTAGAAGGTCTATAGAGCTTGTTACATAACTAAAGAGATTATTCTTCACACCAAGGTTTTAGAGAACAAAAGACTAAGATTAGTGTCTGGTGTCAATATACGAACCCCCAAAGAAATGATGTTACTATCAGGAGTGCTGGCCTCTCAGCACTTCCAGACTTGAACACATTCAGATGATTTAATTCCATTTTTTAAACCTGGGGTTGTGGGTGAAAAACAACATAAAATGAAAGTCCCACTGTAACCTTTAGATTTTCCTTCAGGGACTCTGGACTTTTCTTTATAAAGTGCAAAGCAAGTGACAATCCACAATTTTTATTTAACACACACCATTTCATAAGCAAATAAAATCTCACCTACTGAGAGACTAGCAATGTCACTCTTACTTGGCACCGAACCTTGGGAGATACTCAATAACAAATACGCTGAGCCTGGGGTTTCAACTAAACGCTTCCAGTCCGACTCTGGACTTTCTGAGTTTCAGTAGACTGCTAAAAAAGAATATCCACTTTACATAAAGCATAACATTATGATATAGTCCATGCCTCTGTCACCACTAGAAAGTACTTAGCAGCAAACACCAGCAGTGGGAAATTAAAAGTAAAAATCAATGAAGCCTATCATATTCAAACTGTGAACTCTTAAAGTTATATTAGTTGCTCTACCGAAGACAACTGAAGAAAAAGCACATAATGGAACAGAAGCATATTTTTTTCTGTATGCCGTGTCAGCAAGTAGACGCAGGAAAGATGTTTACAAATAATCTAAGAATATTAGCCCTTTACTATTTATTTGTACAGTAATATCTCAAGCCTAATTATGGTTCCCAGGAGGCTGATTAGTTCCAATATTCACCATTAACAAGTGACAAAGGCAAAAATCCTTTTTTTTTTTTTTTTTTAACTGGAAAATGTCCTTACACATGGTGCACAGATAACTGACATCTGATGAAGTACAAGTGGCTGGTGACACAGCATGAGCAATGGGAAGCATGCCTAGGTCTGTCTGTGAAGTACAGGATTTCTGAACACCTATAATACTGCCACCAAAAAAAAATCTGTTACAATGCCTGTCCAAGTCGTGACCCACCGACGAGGGCTTGGCTGCTGGCACAGTGATGAATCTGTGAATGGGGGCAAATTTCTGTCCCAAACCTGCAATTGGTGTTTTGAGAACCTGCCTTCTTTGTGTGCAGGAACCATTCGCTCTCATGGAAACTGCATCAGAAGGAAACAAACACTGTGTCTCCTGCTTGCTGAATTTGATTCACTTTTGTCCACTGAGTTTCTACTAGTGCTGGGAGCATAAGATTTCAATCAATAGCACACAATCACAATCATTATGATAGATAATGCATGACTGAGTTGGAAGCAGCTTAGCAGGAGGTATTGGCCAGTAAGGATACACTTCTGCCTTGTGCACACAGTGTTCTCCACGCTGCCCACAAAATAGTATCACAGCAGTACCACCACTGGTGGACTCACAGCATTGTTGAGTCCTCAAATACATTGCTTTTGGGCTTTCAAGATCCCTACCAACTACCTTAGCACGTTTACCAACCAATTTCAGCTCAACTACTCAAAACGCTAAACCTGTCATCTTTTTTGTAAGCCAAGTAGATGCAGTTCTTAATACTCAGATTGAGTGATAAGGTACCAAAAGCAGAAAGTCACCTATCTCCCTGTACACACTGTATTAAGATAGTCAGTTATAAATGCTGACCTAGCAACTTGGGAAAAACGAGAGATGGGACCCATTGCAAGCCTGCTTCCCCACTTTTTTCCCTATGTTGCTTTGTTTTTCTGGATTTGATCAATACTGTTTCTGTAAAAAAGAAAAGTTAACAGCATTGATTTCTAAATGAGGTGTGAGTGCTTTGCAGCTAACACAATTTTAGAGATAGGCTTTGTATTTGTAATGATAACATTTTCCATATGTGAACTTCGGAAGAGTCAAAAGAATAGGACATTATACATCTCACAACAACAATGGAAGAAGAGATGCTTGCCTCTCTGTACTAGTTAATCTGGTGTAAACACAAGGATTGGGATTTTTGTTAAAATTTCCTCATCGCTGCAGGATTAACACTCTGTGAGTAATCTAATCGTCTCATGCTTCTCTCCTATGTGTTGGAGAGCTACCAACAACTTCAAATCTATGCCCCTGTCCTGCACACATTTTATAGCAGATTACAATGCCTCCTCTAAAGCTTTTCAGCCTCTTAAGTTTCAAATAAGTCACAATGTCTCTGCTAATTCCTTCTGGGGAGAAAGGATTTGGAGAAAAGAGTAGTTCTCTTATAGATGCTAAAATAAAGGACCTGCTCAAAAGAGAAATAAGAGCTTTTTCACCTTATTTCAAAATGCTTTAATATTGACCTGTATTTTAAAGATGTATTCTGCAAAAGCAGTCCATGAGTCCAGAATAATGAAAGACTATGACAGCACTAGCATTAAATTGTTAAAATGAAACACTTCCCTTATTATCTCTAATAGAAAGTGTGCAAGCTCTCTCCATGAAATGAAAGTTCACACTTAAAAGGATATTAGTTGTATGCATTTAAAAGAAGCAGGAAGGGTTAAAGCCATTTCTCTCTCTGTGTCTAAAGACTGCTATGTCTGTATTGCCAAATAGCCTTAAATGTTAAGGACATTATGTATGTTATATAATATTGCCGTTGAGTTGCATTTTAATGTGCTTTTGGCAGAGGGAAATACTGGGATTTTAAAATTCTGCCTTACTAGAAAGTGTGAAAGCTAGGCAGACGCTTTCGGTTTAATAACATTACAACTTGAACAAGTATTATAAAGCCCCTGTCTTTTTTTTTAGTGTAGCAATGTGTTCGCCTTAATCAAGTAGCACCATAAAAGCAACGGATAAGCCCATTAAAATCTTTACAAGTGGTTTTCAGTACACTTCTACCTGCAGCACCCAAATACTCAATTTTTAGCCGCCTTCTGAAAAGCACACCAGCTGTGCTGGGGAGCAGGGTCATGAACCACCTCTCTCATTATTACTGATGATCACATGATCACATGAAAGACTCCACTCACGCACGATGACAAGTATTCACTACTCAATACACAGGAGGATGTTTAGTGACTGATTTACCACTTCAATTTTTTTTTTTCTTCTAAAAAGTTGTGAGGTTTTTACTTGGTCTAAAGGTAATACGAAGCTTTTGCAATAAATTTTCTCTAAAAGGTAGTAACAACTTAATGTTCACAACCTTAATCTCTACTCGTAATGTAAGCTGAATTACAAGGAAGCATTTTAGAACAACAACATTTTTCCATTTTTTGATGAAATTTGTGAGAAGTTTTTTTCCCCACAAGAAGAACTTGTCACTTACTAAGCTGCAGTCTAGTTTCCATAAGTCAGCAGTTGCTTCTGGAAATCTGAGCTTACATTATTTAAATGCCAGAGTGAACACATAATCACTCAGAGTTCCCTTGCTGTTGACTTGCACTGGAAACTGAAGACTCCTTTTCAGCTTTCCACTCCTATCTTACAGCATCTTCCATAGCTTTGTGCCAACAGCCAGGCCAGTAAACTCTTCTAGCCCCTCAATCTGACTTCCAAAATCAGAGCCGCAAACTTCACCTGCACATCAACAACTGTTTGTACAAATGGTTACGCCAACCAATTTGTATTTCCGGGCTCAGCTCCATATATGTATTGTGAAATGTCAGACAAGAGTTTCATGCTACCCTGCTAGAGCCTCTTACGTTCACTTGAGGTGGAGGTGCTCACTAGAGCCCCAGCTGCCAGCTGAGCCTCTTGAGGCCGATTCCTCTCTTCTCATCCATAACTTTTGCCATCTTTCTACCAGAATGATGGGAGTCATGCTGTAGGCTAAAGGACACTATAACCTCCCTGCAGCC